GATGAGGATGAGCGATGAAGGGTGATGTCTGAAAGCTGAGGGTGAGGGATGAGGATGAGCGATGAGGATGCTGTTGTATTGTCGGATCAGACAGTGTGAGCTCGTTTCTGCATTGCCACGCTTGTCCTGTGACAGGCTGTGAAAACCGAAGGCAGGAGAGTGTGATCAACTACAGGAATGAGAGGTTGTTTGAACGAGTGTTTGAAGCACAGGGCTTTACACTGTGACCTCTGCACACCTAAATCAGGCTTAGGCATGTTTTTTCTGATTAAATTGAATCTCACAGGAGCACTCAAACATGGGCAAAAAAAAGATACAAAGTACAGGAAGTAGTGATTAACAAAATGCAATCACCCAGGCTAGGTCACTGGTTTTAATCTGGTTTAGCCCTGCCAGTGTTGTCTGTAAGAATTCCCTCCCCTGCGCTGTCCAGGGTGCTAAAGTCTGCCTCAAATGCCTGTATTTCCCCTCTGTACCTGGACCGGCTCTGAGCTCTTACATCACTGTAATCCTTGTGGGGATCACACAGTCACTGTGTCAGAAATCTGTTATGTCTGGACTCACACCTGCTAGTGATCTTCCCGGTGTCCACAGGTGCAGCAGAGCAGAGGATAGCTATTTAAAATGTCTGTTGGATGAGTGTGGCTCAGGGGTCAGCCCTCTTCACCAGATGGAGCTCTGAGCAGTGCCAGATTTCCCATTAGCCACTGTAGGCACAGTGCCTAGGGCCTACGAAGGAGGGAGACACTAGTGACTAACGAAAAATGAGCTGAAGCAACATGCTTGCGTGCGACTCCAGGTGCTCCAAATCACGAATCACGCGCTTTCTAGCGGCTGTTCTGGAACCTAGAAGTATCGAAGTGAGGGTCGCTCGGCTCGCTCCATCAGTCACGTGGTTTAGCACGAGGATAGTTTAAAGGGCATCACGTCAATCGACGTCATTCAATTGGCGTTAACCCCTCTTTTTGCACAATTTGGAGTGAAAGTGTCTAGGGCCTACGAACACCAAAATCTGGCCCTGGCTCTGAGTCAGCCCAGCCTGCTTGTCCCAGCATGGGTACCAAGACTTGTGGAAGGAACCCTTCCTTCTGGAGAAGCCTGCACAGTCCAGTGTTCCATCGATCAAGCTCGGTGCTTTTAAGTAGCACAGTCACTTTAATTCCTCCTCTGCTTTTCAACCCTCCCTTCTTCAGTCCCTTTTCTACTCAGACTCTACTCTGCTTAAACCTTTACACCCAGTCTTCCCACTGTACTTTAATCAGCACGAATCCCATTCCCTACTGAGACACCGGAGGCTTAGAAACGAAATGCTCTAGTAGTTTACCGCAGTGAGTGAGGTACAATTTACCCTGGCTCTTTCCTGTCTGAATCCTTGCAAGTTCTTCGTTCACACTCTCACTCCTGACGTACAGCTTGCAAGCCTGTCGGCTGGTGGTGGTGAAAAAAAACAGGAGCCGAAAGACCACACCTGTGCTCGCTAGACTCTACGTTCACTTGGGAGCTCTCCCTCTCTTCCAGACGCAGCCTTCTGACCTTTGTCCTCCAGGCTGCTACAGTACACCTGAGCTTTAATCCCAGGGTGTGGCCAAGTGCCCACAGAGCCCATGCAATGTGCTCCTTTTCCCCCTGTGTTATTGCCTCCACGCTGAATGCCAGTTAACCAATTAACCAATTAGGCCAGGTGTCAAATTTTCACTCCAGTCCGTGGCTTTGAACAAAGCCCCTACATTCACCCTCGCGAAGCGTCCAGCTGGCTGAGCAGGAGGAGGCAGACGGTCAGATCGTGTCGCTTTGTAGGTTTGTTGTGGGACTCATTGCCGGCACCCGTGCTCCGACCACCCGACTCTTCGCATCTTGTAAGACGGATAATTGTCCTGCAGCAGCTCCTTCTCCTGCAGCGGAGCTTGTCAGGCCCTTGTTGTGTCCAGTGACTCGGGCTGCCCTGTGGGTCTGACTGGACACTAAACACAAGCTGCACACAGACCTCTGATCCTCTGTCCAGTCAGGACAGCCGAGACGGGCTGTATCAACCCCCCGAAGAACACAAGACAGGTCACTGATGAGACAAGACAGGCGGCCCATCTGACCTGTGGCAGTTAGTTCCTTGATCCCAGAATCCTCATGGATCCTCATAGACAAGAGAGGCAGAGGCTTGTCTGGCACAGCTGGGAAGATGGCGGCACTGCGGAATGGACACAGAGAGCATGCTTTCCCCGTCCTTTCAGGCTCTCCGACCGCAATACTGTTTGATTTCTGTTTGAGTCTCCGCTTTTCCTGGGATTCCAGCAGAAAGGAACAAGGAAAATGAAATGTGTTGGTAATTTCACAAGACAAAAGGCTTTCTCGGGCCACTGTGCGGCTCCCTGTGAATACCTGGCTTCCTCAGAGTTAGTATCCAGAAGTTTTCTAAGCCGTGTGAAGATGAAGCTCTACACACTGCGGATCATGTGGAGTGGAGACAGCAGCGGAAGACGCCCACAGCTCCAGTCTCTGTTTCTGCAGGCTTTCGCTGTCACTGCTCGACTGTAAAATGCCATTTTTCCCATGGCAGAGTTTGGCTTGGAGGTACGGCCTGACTTTTAAGTGCAATCCAATTGTTTTTAATGCCATTCGGAGCTGTGATCCGACTGGAAGAGACTTCGTGACTGAGGAATTTATCCTCACCTGCCAGCGAACACTCTCCTTCACTTGCCACTGAGATAAAGAAGCAAACAGCCCATTAAAAACAAAGCTAAATCTTCAAATCAGGACTTCCTTCTAAAGCTTCCTGGACACAGTGCTGCTTCCTGTCCATATAAACTATATCATCCAAGTAAACACTTGGAAAGAGCCTTGATGATATCTGATTTAAACAAGTTAAACCACATCTGGGCAGATCACCACAGACACACACTG